TTATACTATATTTCGAACATTCTCTGGATTAAATCAACGTCTCCATAATACTCTTGTCAATAGACGTTTGCATTTACTAACTGATTTCTTATATATCAGTCCCAGTGACACTAATTTTGACTGTTTTTACAATTTCACATCGTTTGGCGATATATCTCAACAACTATCTTCTTTGACAACAATTCAAAATGACAAACAGCGTCGTCAATGTCTTCAATCATTAGTTACTTTTCATATTGCAGAAAAATGTAAACGATTGAAAGATCAGTATCAATCAAGTAAAAGCCAGTTTCCATCTATCCGAGCGAATCTCATTGATGACGAGGATCTCAACTTACGTCAGACCAGGAATTGAGTGAAACGTTTGAGTGTTTTTCACAATGTGTTCCACAACAGAACATTTTTGATCTCTATGGTCCTCCTGTTCTTACGAAAAACACTCGTCTCGAGTCTCTCATGTATGTCAAACTCATCGAATCTCTTGTTCTTACAAAAGATACTCGTCTCGAATGTAATGACAGTCCATTTGATGAAAACTTCGCTTATGCTGTAAATAAATGGTTACTTTCGAACCTTCACACTATCCAATCTTCTACTCAACGATTTATGAATCTTCTTAAAAATTATCTGGACGTTGGTACTGGTTGCCTTTGTACATATTTTAATTTCTTTTATTCTTTTCGATTTTCCGATTGAAAATGCTTTTACTGTTCCGATGCACATTATTCTATTGGTACACAACGTCATTTCACTACGCTGGGTTTATTCCATTTTTCTATTAATATGCAATGTTGTCTCGCTACGCTAGACTTACTACTCTTTTCTATACAATGTATGAAAGATGTATTCAAGGAGGATTACTGAGTGATAAGCCGTTTTGGTGATATATTATGGAGTATTGCTTCGATTGAATGCGTTCCAGATCATGAAATATTTATGTCTATCAGTCAAATGGAAATATAAAGAATAGTACTAGATGAATTTAGTCAAAGAGATATAAAACAATTGAGCGAATATCTCAATGACCAGCTCCAAAATATATTACGTAATGTAATCGAAAACGAACGAATTGATGCTCTTGTAATGATTTATCATCAAAACGAGAGCGTACGAAATTTATTTTCAAAATTATGGAATAGTCGAATGTTTGTTAATATGATTACTGAAAATCGAAAACTTTTTAATGCTTTTCCGAATAATAAATCTTTGGCAGCATGATTATAAAGTGTGGATCTGTTGTTTATTCTATTAAAAAAGAGAAAATGTAAATTTCTGAAAAAATTGTTCAAAATATTACCAACACTCGTTCATCGATGCGACGAAGATGGTAATGATCCATTGTTTTACGTCAGTCTCCATGGTACGCGGTTGTCGCCATCGTCCAGTGGAATTTTTAATCCAGATAGAATGTGATTTCCAAAGAACAAACTCAAAAGGAGAAAATTTTTTTCGGTGCACTACAATTGCAAAGAAATCGAAAAAGTATGGAAAATCTAATCGAACAAGAAACTATTTGTATTAATGATGCTTCGGATAAGATAATAGTAATTGTAGCTAACCCATGCGACTGACGGAATGTTTTCAACGCACACACTATAATACATTGTGAACTATTTCGATTTGTTACTGCCAGTGCGTCGAGAGCAAATATCGACACTTTAGATATTTACTTTGAAAGCTGTTACAAGCAAGGTTGCCAACCATTCCGTTTTTTCAGCAAAAACCATCTTTACCTTTCTTTTGAAAGGTGATGTTTACTGTTAGAGAATGCCTTCTTTTCAGTATTACTATCTAGTAATCACTGGCATCGATTGTCTGTCAGCGTTATTGTTGTCAAATCTTTCATTTCAATTCAAATGTCCCCTTTCGAGACCTTCCCATGCAAAAATCTTTCACGAAAATATCTGAATTTGATCAATTGTTTTAGTTATTAGCATCAAAAACTGCTTTAAATCGAAGAAAGTCAATGAAATCATAACAAAATCACGATTTTGATTGACTTATCAAAAGTTTGATTCAAATCAAGGTGATTAACAATCAATCTCCGCTAACTCTTCGTAATAAGTCGATTTAAATCAGAACGAATAAAAATCTGTATTTTCTGGGTGCAAAGGTTCAATTTAGTTACCCGTATCTACCTTTTGAAACTCATTTTGTGCCAATTCTTTTACAGAAAACGGTGAGAACATTTTCATAGGAAAATGGAGTTCATTTTTCATCATTTTGAATAGGTATGATCAAGAACATGTTTTGAAAAGGTGACTGCCATTTGTTTAAGAAAAGAAAACGTTCCTGAGCGTTTTATTCAAATGGGAGACGGCGTACTTTGTACTTGAAGTTAATTTGCGCTACTTCACAGCATTTCGAACTACTTCAAAGTATTTTGCTCTAAGTTTAAAGTACTTTATCCTACTTTAGATTACTTTAGACGTTACTTTACTCTACTTTACTATACTTGAAGTCTGCCGTTTCCCTCTTGGTTACATTTCAGAATGCATGCCACTTTTATTGAAATGTTTTCTTTTCATGAAAAAAAGTTTTAAATTTTATTCTATAAATATTTTTCATTAGGAAGTCGACAGGTATCATGAATGTCGTCAGTGATGAATACATCTTTCGAACGTCAACTATAGATATTCGTATATTTACTAATCTAAGATACATTGGAAACATCGACTAGTACTTCTTATCAATAGTGACTGGGTTGAACAGTTTTTGTTAAAATAAATTATGATCTTCTTAATTACTGTGATGAATTGCATTAAAAAAATTTGTGCACATTTGAAACATTATTAATGTAGATTATGTCTCACAAAACATTTATGAAACCGTATCGGATATAAATTGTTCGTGAACGAAACAACGGAAAACATCCTTTTTTTGCAAACTTACAAGTATATGACGATATAATAGTCTTTTGAATGCATGTCACCGATCAGCATAGAGAGGTTTTGCTCTATATGATGTTGTAACTGTTTGCGATTTAGAAGACTGACAGAGAGAGTTCAAAACAACAAAAGAAGTAAAAGATCATTGATTGTGCGAAGTGAATCAAACTGACGAAGACATCGTTTGTTTTACTTTTTGACGTGTATCTTATCTTTCTTTTAAGACTATCATCGTCAGTTCGTCAGATACTGCAATAATTAGGCTGTGTTTATGTGACTTGTGTAATATATGTCTGATGTAGCGAAGTTATATTATAAAAGAGTAATCTCTTAGCGGTAAATCAAAAGTAAAAATCATGCAAGATTTCTGGCAACGATAGAATAAGAGAGTCATAATGTAGAATTGACTCTTATTAATATTAAGTGAAATGAATATTTTCAGTTATCGACACTTTGACATTATTAATGCATAGTTTTATCAATTATCATGTCGACAACATCATCTCTTTAATCAGAATATGGCTGTTAATCTTCAATCATTAACTTTGAATGTTTTTGGTAATTAGTTCTCTTATGCTACAAAAATAACTAGTTTTTCAGCATATGACATTTGAATTATTCCCAGGAACAATTTTTTAACTGTAGTCGCACTGTACTTCTTTTGAAACATATTCTCTTTTGTATTCCTGGAATAAGGATAAAAGAGCTACGTAGTATATAGTACATGGAAAAGGTACAATGTTATAATTATTTACATCAATAATTGATCGTCATTAACATGAACATTTTTGACAATATGAGTGACTAGAATCACGATGCGTTACTTTGATAAATTTTGTATCTTGTAGTTGAAGAAAGCATGCATCTACGATGTCGTTCATACCTTAATACGGTTCACAATATAAGGAATTTGTATCGGCAAAGTCACTACTATTATAACTTTTATGTTCACTTTTACCTATGAATTGTAAAATGTTGCGTGAATAAGATAAAACCCATTTTGAGTGCATTACTTTTAAATATTTTTCAATATCTTCGAGAAAAGATCTTCTCGAGCGGCATAAGATGAATATGATTTTCGTAATAAGTAGTCTTTTTTTAATTGTAATAAACATCAACAGCAACATTTCTTGTAGTAGACTTTAATTTATTTCGATTGATTCGTACGAATAAATATCATTATTTTTAGCGTTGTATTAAGTAGTATGATCACATTAAATAGGAGTAAAAACGTGAATGTCTAGAAAAATCGATAGGATTGTATAATTTGTATTGCAATATTATGCAAATGAATCTTAAGAACGAATCTCATTTGATTTTTTAAGCAATTGAGAAAACAACAAATTCATGTAGTATTCTCATTTAGGAACCGATTGCTTAAGTAACAATAATACTAAATATAATTGCTTTCTACAACTTTTTCAACCAGAGAAACAACTGTTGATTTTCTTTAGATAGACTAAAAGGACTTTTCAGCATCTGACATATCAACAAGCGCTCAAAGTCTATAAGAAAAGAAGAGCTAAAAACTAAAATTATTTTTAATACAGAGTGCTACAGTTAGAAAAGGTCTTTGTATCGAAAACTTCTTTCGAACCATATTATGAATTGTTAATAAAATGTGACACCATATATGAATGGTTGCTAAAAGGAATAACGGCAATAGCAGTAAGGCAAAAAAAGAATCAGAAAAATATGAGTTACTAGACGCTTTTTTCTACGAAATATAAGCATATTCGTTTGATATATTCATATAAAAAATAATATGTATGTTCTGCGATCCTCCTTTTAAATGAACAAACCGAAATGTTATATTTGAAACACATATATTCATATCGTTCGATCACGACATCTATATACTATATTTTCGAACTAGTTAACAGAAATATGTTGGCATTTCCCTTTGATCATCACACTAGAATAACCATTGAACGCAACATAAACAACATAAATCATCAAATTAATTCATTCACAGTAGTTTGTATTGATTGGTTAATTATCCAAGCAATATATATAAATATATAGTAACAGCACAGTTCTATTATTTATTATTCTTTTACACAGTACGTACAATAATCTTTTCGTTTTTTCTGAGTTTTGATCCATCAAAAAATGGCAAGTAATGGTAGTAACTCTCCTATAAATAATGAAAATAGTATGATATTATCAATTCGATTGATTCGTTCGTTTGAACATCGAAATATTCGTCATATAATTTTACATTCTATCGATTCATCTGGACAAATGACTGGCAACGAAGTTAAAAAACGTATTCTAACAAGTTCGTAATTTCACACCTCAGGTGAAATCTTCGTGTTTTTTCTTCTGAAATAGTTTGCTTTTCATTTTTTTTGTTTCACTTTCAGTGTTACCCAATGAAAAGTTGCCACCACCATTTAAAACATTTGCATTCGGTAATTTAAAACAAAATGATAAAATTTTCTATAATATTATTTTCTTTGCGTTTAGATACACTGAAGATTGAACATTATCCACACCAAGCTAAAGTATGATTTGAATTAGAACTGTTTTAGGAGAAACAAATATTTATTTTAAGTTTTTTTTTCAATCAGCTCTACCATTCTTAAGTTGAAAAAAGGTTTTTATTATTCTTGACCTTTTAAATCAATATCCTTTCATTAAAGACAACTGAACAGAATTTGTTTCTTTCGATCAAATATATATGCCCATATTTTTCATTCGTACAAGAGAATCAGTGTGTGAAAAAAAAATGAAATTTCGTTTTTATAAGAATTCAAATAATGGATTTCAGAAATTCTTACTCAACAAAACATGTGGCTCGAATTTCTAGCTCTAATCGTATCCTTGAACTTTTGAGTTTAATTAGAATCAGAATAGTATCAATGAAATTTTCAATAATTGAAATATGGCTGTCTTCAATCATATTTCATTGTAAACATCATTTATTGAGATATAAAATACAAACTAAATCTTAAAATATTGTACTTTTTTCCCCTAGAGTAATGATGTAGTGATTCGTCAAGACGATGATGAACGATTAATTATCGAAGATGACAAACATTTATGCGATTACAACATAGTAAATGGTACTGAAATTACATTTTTTAGACGAAGTGACTATGAACTTTACAAAAAAAATCCAGACTTGGTTATGGATTAATAACTATTTTTATTTCATTTTTTTTGTGTAATAGAACTTGTTTTGTATACATCATTTCGATCTTTCGCTGATAGATGATACAATGCTAATTTATATTTTCGAAAACAAATAAAGTGAATTAAATTAAAATGCATTTTGATTTGGGATCTCAACGGCTATTTCAAAACAACAAGTGTACAAATTTAATTCGTACGTTGGATAAAACGGTATCATCATTATACACATTTTCAAGATAGAAATAAATAATTTTTTGCCATAAAATCATCTATCTAACATTATATTTCAAAGCTGATAGTGAAAAAATATTCAACAAGAAATCAGTTTTAGTTGTGACGTTTTTCCTTAAAATAATATATTTTTTGTTATTGGACTTGGTTGATCATCAGCAACCAACATATATTACAACTCTTTCTTTGTATCCATTGTGTCAGTTCAGGAGCTGTGAGTCCATGTTTTTTTGAACCTGACCCCGACAAATCTAGACACAAGTTTATTTCTACTAATATCTGACACTGTCTGCGTAGATGAATGAGTAAAGGATCAAGGTTTGGGCTATTTATTGGCTACTCTCAAAAGACAACTCAGCGTACCGTCATTTCTTGTTGATCACTTTCTCATCACTCGATGCTTATAAATTTCAAATTTTCGTTTAGTTCCAAAGAGTATTATATTAACAAAAAAGGAAACTGAAGAAACAAAATTTGTTAAAGTAACAATAATACAAAAGTCTTCAGTTGTACGGAATAGTTTTACTTGTATTTATATAAAAGAAATCAAGCAAGAACAGTTTCTATGTAATAAATCTAGGAAGCTGCGAGTCTACGTTTTTGCGAAGGAGGACCAATAAGTTTGAAAAAGCTCGCAGCGCCCTAGTGACAGTTATTTAATGCATATTTTTTCAAGAAAGATTGATTTTTTAATTATTCAAACAATCTATAGAATAGTTCCAGCTCAAGATAAGATCAATATTCCTGACTGTATTTGCACATACAAAAGTCAACAAAGCAGATTTTTATATCTAAAAAAATTAACTATTTTCAATGAATTTTTTTATTCAATGGATTAAAATTTCTCTCTTTAACGTTCCCATCCTCACACTCTTCATCTTTTGAATAAAGGCATTACGAAATAACTTGTTTATTATTTACACTTATTCGTTATGTCCTTTTTTTTTTGCTGCTATGGATGTTTTCATATTGACATTAGTCTCTATCATCATTGTGAACTAAAGATTGGCTTATCCTCACAATGATAAAGAAAGTGAGAGATCTGACTTGTTTGTGTCGATCAATTTTATAAAAAGAAAAGTTTGTCGGCATCACCTAACTAAATCAACCATATCGGAATACATAAGCACCAGTTCCCGACAGTCAATTGATAAGTTTTATACTTTATTTTCCCGTAGCTAAACGAACAAACTGTTATTTTTTTTTAATCTTTTGATTGAATGGACAGAAGAAAAAAGAAACTCGTACAAATCATAGTTAGTACAAGTGAAAGTAAAATCTATATGAACTTTAGTTTTGTTTTGGATAATTTTTTCATTTATTAATCAGTTGATTATGATCACTAAGAAATAGTATTCACAAACTGCCAAATGTTATGTTGTTCTTTTTTACTTTTTGATGTTTGTCAATCGACAGATGAGCTTAGGTGTATTAATTAGTCTCTCTTTTTTTTGATGTTCTTCTGTCGATTATTATTGGTCGTTTAATTTTGATTGGCGAAGAAAATTAAAAGAATTTTTTTTTTTCTTCTGTCTTCTCTTCCCAATATTATTATAACTGATATTCACATTTGTTTCATTTCATATCATCATTCAAAACGAAAAACAGGCTAAGTATTTTCTAATTCTTTACTTCACTTGTTGATTATTTCTAGGAAATATGGATCCATATTATTCATCACCATCATATTACTATCAATCATCATGTCCTCTTCATGAATCATATGTTGATCCTTATTCTTCATATCCAACACAATCAACTCCATCTTCATCATATTACTATCAATCTTATGTTGATCAATCACCATCACCACAAATTGTTCTTTACAATAATTCAACGACAAATATTTATGCTCAACCAACACCTCCAGTACAAACTATACAATCAACACCTGTACTTAACACAACTTTTGAATTAGGTATGACTATTTTAGTATTATTACGGTTTTAATATTTTTTGTTTGTTTATCTTAGCTCCACCAGTAGGTCGTCGCCGTCGTCAACGTACTATATTTTTAAAAGATCAAGTTGATTTACTCGATCAAGTATTTGAAAAGAATCCATATCCTGATATTCAACTTCGTGAACAACTTTCTCAACGATTAGATGTACCTGAAGCTCGTATTCAAGTATGTTCTTCTTAATTATTCAATTGAGAAAAGTCTTATTTTTCTTTGTATAGGTCTGGTTCAAAAATCGTCGTAGCCGTGCTCGAACAACAAATAAAACAAAACATTAATATAAATTAATCGTCGACATATTGTCAACATACATTTGTTGTTTTTCTTTTAGTTAATAAATTTTCTTATAAGTTTATTTTATGTTTTTCTACAAAGACACAAGCTATAGTAACAAAAGGTTTATTTCAAATGAAGTATCACTGGTTCAGATGAAATAATTTTGTTGAAGTACAAGTATTTTGTTGAAGTATAACATTTTAGAATGCTGTATATGTTGTAATTTGAAAAAAATATCGATTTGAATCTTAGAGTATCATGAATTTCATTGGCATTATGAGGTTGTTAATCAGCTATTTCTTGCGCTGAAAATATTGAATATGAGGATGTTTCTCTATTTTTTGAGAGATAAAATTTGCGTAGTTTTTGTCTTTATTTTTATTTTTTCAAAATTTCACAAAAGTCAATCGAGAAGTTATTTTGATGAATCAGATCGGATTTTATTTAAGTTAGATTTTGAAAATTGAAAGTATTGTTCATCTGTGAAATTGCAAGGGAACTTATGCTTTTACGTAATATGTAGTGTTTCGAAACATGTGCAATTATTTCAAGGTTACTACTAGAGGAATAAATGTAAGTATTCGTTGTGTAATAATAATGATGACGTCTATGGGGATAAGATCAATGGTGGATGACATTTTGATTCATATATTGAGTGCAGAAGTGCACTGGTATGAATGTGTTACAGATGTTTATTGTTGACCGTAGAAGATCACTTTATTCTTAGTAAAATAATCAACTAAGATTAGAAATTGATAGGACTAATATTTTAAGGTTTATCGAGTGGAGATCATGGTGAAATGAGTCTGGCGACTAAATATTACAGTTGAATGCTTTATTGTTTCGAGTGAATTATGTAAATATCCTCTAGATCCAAACACCGAGCTAGATGAAGTCTGTAAAAGTAGAATCACCGAGATCAGAACGAATAAATTTTGATGCCACACACCTTTAGTTTAAGGTGCCTGTGAGAACAATTACTTTGGCAAACCAATTTTTGTACTGGTGGCACGAAGTGACGTTTTTTGTCAACGAACATGGAATAGTGGAAATATATTTAAAAGAATTTTATGAAAGATATAGTGATTTATTCGAGAAAAAGTCGTGATTTAAGAAGAGATTGTTTTCTATGTATTTCAAAATTCTTCATATTAAATAATTTAATTCTATTCATTATCATTCATTCTAGTTGATTTGTTTTTCATTGATACAATTCGTCGTGTTTGATTATGTTTTTCTTTTTCTAGTTCTTTATTTCCGTATTGTTGTAATCGTTGTTGTTGAATTGATTGAAGAATTCTTGATGTATCTATACATAGAATAAATGATAAAAACAAAAAGAGAAAACAAAAAAAATCTATTTTTACCATTTAATTCTGAATCAATGTTAGTATCATTCACTAAACAATAATAACAAAGTTCACAATTTTCTGTCGAACATGGTAATCGATTAACACCAGCAATTATATGATCTATTGCTGCATCATATTTTAATTGATTTGGAGTACATAAACGTCCTCTCCAAACAATATGACCTAATTATATAGAAGATAATGTAACATTCGAATATTAAAATTCAGTTAATTTACCTGAAAAATCTAAGATGAAATATAAAGGTACACCATCAATTGATAATAATTCATGCAATGGTTTTTCGTTTTCCTTTTGTTCATCTATTAAATAACCAAAACAAAACAAAAAATATATGAAATAATAACTATTCTTCCTTACATTGAAAATCTTCTGATGAAAAATTAGTATAACATTGAATATTTGTTAAATTTTCAGTCAATATTTTTAAATCATCAATATCATTTTGATTACAATTAATTGATATAAAATTATACTTTAAATTAATAAACGAAAAAATTTCAATTCGAGAAATTAATCAAATGATTACTTGTGTACAATGAGATGAAGCATAGGTAGAAAAATAATTAAGATGCTTTTTTGATGGTATACATTCATAAATATAAAATAAAATTATACTTAATCGATGTACATTACCTAATGATGGTAAAGAAGTTATTTTATTTTCTTTTAAATCATAAACTTGAATATTAGTCATCATTTTTGGAGATTTGATAAGACCTTGATGTATTGGTCGTTTTAATTGTTTTTCATATGGTAATGTTTTCATATATGAACAACTATTTAATTCAAGATATTGTTTAGAATGCGAGGAGTTGTGTTCGAATTGAGTGGTACTGAAATTCAGTAAATTTTAAAAGTATTTTATTTCTGCTTATGTTACGGTTTAGAATGAAGAAAAACAAATTGTATCTATTTGTTGATAAATAGATTTTCCTTCAGTCATAATGTTTAAACCTTTTAAAAGGATGAAGTATGTTAATACAACAGTAATGAATTTTCATATCTGTTTTTGATTATGATATTGAATATTGTCAAAAAGAAAAAAAGACAAGTTCCTCTCCTGACATCATATTCCTATTTCCATAATTCGATCAATTTCTATCGGCAGTGACTATATGTTAGAGCCTGTGAGCTGTGATCCCGAACTTGAACTCGGTCATGTTTGTGATCAACCTAATAAGTCATAATATAAAGCTAACAGCCAATGATAACTTAATTAATATAAGACTATCGTTAAAATTGTATGAAAAATGTGGAAAGTATGTTAGTAGCAGAATATAGAGAGGATCATCGCAAGCGATTCAAAGCTTTTGCACTGATATAGCGCCCGTAAATAGGACCCAGTGAGATCAGAAACATCCTAAAAGGATAAGAGGCTAGAGATCTGTCTTTCCCAGTTATGACCGTTTTATTATGTTGATCATTAACGAGAAGCAAATTACCAAAAAATTAAAGTACAGAAGTTCGATCTGAAATACTCTCTACATGTAGATCGTATAACCTTTGTGAAAAGCTAAATAATCGTAGTGAAGATGAACGCTTCTTTCTCTAGATATTGAGATTTCAAAGAAAGTCGATTTTTGTGGTATATGGCAACATAAGATAGTTTCTTGAAAACTTAGTGTCTGGAGAAAGAAGCTTTCTATAAAGATTATATATGACGAGAACTTCAAATTGAATTTCGCTATTTACTTCAGTTTTTCTGTAACGTTTTCGTTATTGATGGTCAATGTAAAATAATGGTCATAAATCGGCAAGATAGATTCATAAACCTTTATCCTTGTAGACTTCTTTCTAGTCTCTCTGATTCTTATTCATGGACAAAATATCCGTACAAAAGCTTTGAATCACTTGAAGTTGTTCTCTTGCTAGACTAAAAGATTACGTTGAAATTAGAAATATGGGTCGAATTTGAGAAAATTTTAAGCAATTGGATTCGAGTATAAAACATGTTTAATAAATCGGATCCGAATCCAAAAATTTTGAACTCGACGGACTCTACTCTATATGCTATGAATTTGAACTGTCTGAATCACAGTAACACTCGACAGGTTTTGTACTTTTAGGAGAAATCTTTACTATATATAGATGTCAACAAAACTTTAAAATATTGCACGATTGTTTTCTTCAAAATTCACTTCAGCTTTTACAATTAACCTTGTCAAGTATTACCTCTCTTTTCATCGCTTAGCTGTTATAACAGATGAAATAATAGAAAAATTGATTTTTTTTTTCAAGTTTCACCTACAATTATTTATGCCTCTTATATAACATTATATGTAAATACGTCTTTGTTTAAAAGAATAAAATGTTGAATTTTTAATTTCTATGAGATATGTAATTAAATTTGAAAGTCATTGTAATTCATTTTCACATCTTTTTTTTTTTGTATTCATAACTACAGATAAAAAAAATTTTATATATTTTGAGTGCAAAAGAATAATTCTTTTTCTTCTTTTATAGGTATTATTAGAATATCTCAATTCCTATAAAATGATCTTTTCAATTCAAATTACTAATAATTCATTTTGTTTATATATGCTAATAACATGTATATTTATTTGTTTGTTGTCATAGATTGAGACAATGTTAATTACTTCGAAACTTTTTTGTCAAACACAAAAAAAAAATGTTTGATTATTTCATAGCAACTTATAGAATCCTTATAAATCCTACAATTTGAAATGAAACCTCATAAAAAAGAAACTTTTTCTTTCAAGTATATGATTTGTTGTGTGGATAATAATCGAAATTTTTTTTTTTTAATGAAAAAAATAAATCTCACAAGGGAAGGTCCCCAACTGATCAATCGTTTTTGCGTTGAGGCTATGTGCATTATGTAGACACAAAAGAGTTATGAATACCCTGAAAAAAGTTCGGGCTGCTAACTTATTGCTACGGAGATACTGCACTTTTACGGTATGTTTTTAAATGA